GAAATCACAAAGGGGTTAAGGAGTTTTTCATTCTTCCTGGAAACAATATTGCTTTTCGCTCATGGCTCTGTGAGTTCAGGGGAGGGCTTAATTCTACCTGGCAGAACCCTGTTTTAACACAGAAATACTTTCTTTTGTATTTCAAGATGAACCAGCCACAAGGTGGCATCTCCAAGGCTTCTGTGTTGTTTTCAGGCCACCGTTTGTGAATGCTGCGTTCAATTTCAGTATCAATACTGTGAAGCTTGGCTAGATTCATAATATAGCTCCGTGGAAAATTCCTTCGGGAGGTGGACTGACCTTTTGGTTTTCATTTCAGTTATTATGGCTTTAACGCAGCGCTGACGGCACGCTTTGACTTCTTCAATAAGTATTATTTCTTTCACGTATAATTAACACAGGCCACTGTATTTTTCTACCAGCTTTTCTCCTCGGCAGTACAATTTAATAGAGACTGGTCAAGGCAAGTATCATTCACATTTAATATTCTTAAATACATGTCATTGTCTACTTGCATGAAAGATAAGCAGAACCACATCTTGTTTTAAAAGAAATCAGAAGGAATAAACGCAGAGTGCATCATTCTGATCTTTTTCCTGTGCATTTGTGATCGCAAAACATCTAGCTGCCTAAGAAGCCGCACTTAATAACTCAATGCCATAACCCACCCGGATTATCAACTGACAACTAGAAAGGACAGAGTCTTATGGGGCCCAAGGTGAAGGAATGTGAATCCAAAGACGCAATGCTGGGAAATTCTGGATCTCAGAGTAAGCAAAACAAAGGAAGATTAGCCAGTGCCATGATTTTCAATCCATTTATTTATCACTTCAGAGGTTCTTTGACCTTCTCGGATTTTCTCTTATTACCTTCCCAAATTTATTACTGTCAGATGCCAGATGCCTGGGAGGAACAGTGAGGTGCCTTCTCCTAACTGCCACCCCCACCAAGAATTTAGAGGAAGGGTAAATAAAACCAGCCTTCGAGATTAACATCAATGCAGGTAAGGTTAGGGTGGAGATATGCAAAGTAACCCCTAAAGGGACGGAGCAAGACTAAGTGACTTGTAGAGAAAAAGGAGCCTTAGAAGACACCGAGGCAAGTGACAATCATACAGGCCTTCTCAAGTGCATTTCTAGCTAGAGGGGTGATGGGACGTGGACATATAGGCTCTGGGGCCACCGAATGCCTAAAGACCGTAACTTGCTGCCTCAGATTCCATTCTTATCAAAGCCTCTTACGAAGCTAGACTGTTGACTCTAAAAAGAGATACGTATTTATCAGCCTTGTTACCATTTGTCAGTTGCATTTCTCACTGTTAAAAAACAAGTTGGCATTCTAGTTTACATCTAATTTATTTCTCTCAATAACTCAACATTCCTAAGAATGACTAGCTCTGGAAGGTTAAGGGCAAGGAGTTTCTGTGTGTGCAGAGCGGCCGGCTTGATCCTGGACCAGCCGAGTCCACAGGTGAACAGACTCTGAAATCCATCGGGGTGTTCCAATGGCCTCTCTGGGTCACGCTTTTCCTTTCCAAAATACCTACAGAGTGAGTCTTTCCACAGATTGCCTCTCTGTTCAAATCCCAAGATGGATTTCTACTTTCTTGCAACTCAAGTTAAAAAACGTGGGTCTGGCTTTCAGCCTGGAAAATATTTCCCCACACTCCCTCTATGCTTGGATTTCCTACTGTGTTTATGCTCATCTTTCATCAAACTGGGCTAAAGTACCTTTCCTCATGCACTCCCTGCTTAGAATTGCATTCCCACTCCTCACACAGTTCATTAAAACTCCACCCCCTTTCTCAAAGTGCGGTTCATGTGCCATTTTTTCCAAGAAACCTTGCCTAGGATTCCAGCAGGGATTTCTCCTTTCACTAGATTCCAGAAACAGGTCCGGCCAGTACCACATAACTTTCACACTCCAGGCTTGCACTAATGTGTTAATTGCTCTACATGTGTTATTGTTGCCTACCCCGTTTGTAATTTCTCTGGAAAAGGTGAAAGTACAACCCAAGGAATAACTGGTAACTCCACAGGTCAGGTTGTGCCCTTGGGAGAATTCTTTGATAGCCCCCATCATAACTGGGCGATAGATATTCTAAATACTGGGAGAAGGCAAGAAATGTTGTCAACGAATAGGTTTTTTGAAGAGGTGAAAATACATAAAGCACAATCGGCTTTTAAAAACCATTTATTCACCTAACACATTTTCATTCATTGAATAACCCTAGACAAGATCCTGTAGTTTCTCCCAGTGAATGAATATGCTAAGAAAGCATCTCAGGTTTATATCTCTGAGCCCTATCTCTGAAACCATTACTTAAAAGTATCTTTAATTGTCCGTTGACTCTTTTCAGAACATCTTTAGCTGCACTAGAATTAAGAATGTTTTAACAGTTCACAATTAGGGTCTCAAAATTGAGGTTTTTTTTTTTTTAATTTTTTTTTTTTAACATTTATTTATTTTTGAGACAGAGAGAGACAGAGCATGAACGGGGGGAGGGCCAGAGAGAGAGGGAGACACAGAATCTGAAGCAGGCTCCAGGCTCTGAGCTGTCAGCACAGAGCCTGACGCGGGACTCGAACTCACGGACCGTGAGATCATGACCTGAGCCGAAGTCGGACGCTTAACCGACTGAGCCACCCAGGTGCCCCTCAAAATTGAGTTTTTAAATCCTGTATCCATATAAACTTCTAAGGAATTCTTTTTTTTTTTTTTTTTTTTTTTTTTTTTTTTTTTTTTTTTTTTTTTTCTTTTTCTTTTAAGGTTTATGAGGCTGGTCTGAAGTAAGCAGAAACAACTTTATCAACAATTTTATCAGGCCTCTTTCAACGTTGATGTTGGGATTGTTAGAGCTCATGAACAGACTGATGGATTTTACCGTGGGATTTAAAGGGGCTGGAGACTGGAGCGGAATCCCATAACGCTCTCCGCATCCCACGCCTGGCCCAATAGGTGACCACTGAATAAACAAGTGATTTTGGCACACTGCCTGTGAAGGTACCCTGAAAAGCAGACGGCTAAATAAAATAATGACTTTTTTTAATCTTAAAAAAGGAAATCCTCAATTCCTCACGTGAGCACCTGTGAATTTACAGTTTCAAAACCTCCCAGGGGAATAGACTCTGAACTATGGCAAAAGACAAGTCAAGAAATGTGGGGGTACACATAATGAGAAAGTGATATGTACACTAAGTTTTCATCAGGAAAGAAGAGTCTGTATTATGTTTGGAGTTTTAAAGTTGAAACATTTGAAAGTTACTTAAACATCACTCTGGCTGGAGAGATGAAGTATTACTTAGTTGTCTCCCAACATTTCCACATTCAAACATGACACAGCGATAGATAGTTACTTTCAAGAAATTGATTTGAAACAAAAAAGGAGGAGGAGTTCACTTTAAACTATATTTTCTCAAAGGTCTGCAGATTACAGCTTCTATTTCTAAAACTTCTGTACCACGACTCAGGAAGAGGAACATTATAATATTGTCGTGCATGGAGCAAACCCTTCCCTTTTATTATAACTATGGTTACAAAGCTTCCTTCAACACCTTTTTGTGACCGTTTCTCTTGAAAGAAGGCTTCATCGCTTCAATATTGGATTTGTAGACAATTGAGCGCAAATGTTTTTTATTTCTATTTGGTAAAAGCTCATAAATGTACATATAAATATTTTAGTTCGCACTCATGGTAGTCGAAGCCAAACCCATTGAAATAGTTACTCTTATTGGAACAAAAGTACTGGGTGGGTAACTTTTAAAATATCAGTGCAATTTTCCTAGGTCAAAGTTCACAAACAGAACTGATAAGAAAGATGTTCCCAGGTGGCCTCCTTGTAATGAGCTTTATATTAAGCTATTTATTTTCCTTCACCTGGTCACATATGATACCTCAAGCTATCTACGTAGCTGCTGCCCACGTGGGTAGAAAAGAGGCAATTTCAACCCTTTATTAAATCCCATTTCATGCGTCTTGGAGAAATCCAAATGTGTGTGAGAAAAAAAAAAAAAAAAAAAACATCACAGAGACAAGATTTCCTGCCAACCTATTTCTATGAGAGTGAAATTAAAGATCCCCAGGGCACCTGGGTTACAGCATTTCAGCCCAGGTCATGATCTCACAGTTTGTGAGTTCGAGCCCCGCCATGTCCAAGGCTCTTCTTCTGTAAAGAGATTGGCCGGTAGCCTGAGCCTGATTGATGTGTGTGTCTCCTTTCTGCCTTCCCTGCTCATGCTCAGTGTTTCTCTGTCTCTCAATAATAAATAAATGTAAAAAAAAAAAAAAAACCACACCATTCCCCCATCTCCCTGTGAGCTCACAGGCAAATGTCAAAAGCAAAGAAAGGCTTTGTGTTGGAATTGCCACAGCGCTCTGGCTTCCTCCTTCCTGCTCTAGCCTTCGTTCCCTGGCTGTGACTCTTCCTTCCAGTGAAGACTTGAACACACCCTTGGCCTCTCCGGCTCCTTAAGGTTTCACCTCGCTGGGACACCCCCCTATGCCACGCAAAGAAGCGCCGCGAAGACAAGCCTACCGGTGCTTGCTTCTCTGACCCTAAGAATGTAAATGGCAAGGATGGATGCCGCCGGTAGAAACGGGTGGTGAACTTTCGAAGTTAGCAGTTGGCCAGAAGAAGCCTGCCTAGCTAAGCTCCATTCCCCGCCGGAACGTCTGGGGTCTCACGGGTACATTCAAACGCACTGAGACTATTCCAAGGCTTTCTCGGCGGCGTTCCGGATTTCAAGACGTTTGCGCGGAGCCCTACGGGTTTCGGGAATATGCAACAGCTGCCCGTGCGACTGGAGGGACAGGGAATTATGTAAGGCACTGCAGGGTAGGTGAGGCCGACCGCGTCTGCGGACCGCACTCACGCACACCTCAGCACACGGGCACCAGCAAGGGCAGCCTGGGGCTCACCAACAAGGCGCACACACACGCGAGGGAAGAGGGACAGAGGCGGCCGGCCCAGGGGTAGGAGGAGGACAGGGAAGGCAAAGTACCGTCTTGTCCAGGCACTGAAGGCAGTTATAAGGCTTGCAGCAACCGTGGCCCATCCCGGCAGACTGGCTGGCAACGGGCCCTCCTTCATTCAGCGTGTCAGCGGCTGACTCCTAAGGCGAGGTGATGGCTCTGGCGAGAGGGGTGCGCCGCCGGGAGCTGTCACAACTTCCATGTGGCCCCCTCGGCTACCTTATTTCTCCTAATAACTTCAGGAAGCCGCAGCCCGAGGGAACGGGAGGAGGAGCGCGGCGCGGCGGCCGCGTTAGGATCCCGCAGCGGGGAGGGGCAGGGCGGCAGCCGGGAAGGGAGGGTCACTTTGCCACTGGAATCCTGCGATGGAGGCAAGTCAGTCGTCGCAGAACAATCGAGCATTTCCCGGGGCCAGCTCCCCCGGAGGCCGGCGAGCCCGCCCCTCCCGGGAGCCGCGCCGCTCCCACCCGCCCCGGGCGCGGCCGCGCCTCTGCGCGCCGCAGACACGCCTGGAGAGGACGCAGCCAACACAAAAGAAGAGCCCGGTCTTCCAGGAGTACTCGGGGCTGAGCACTACGGCAGGGGCCCGGGGGGACTTGGCTCTGCGCGAATAGCGGCTCTCTGCGTTCCCGGCAAGTACAGACATCTACAGGGTGCAGGGCGCGGTCTTCCCTCCAGCGACCCCTGGTCTCCGGGACCGGTCGCCGCCGGGAACCCTCCCCCGCCCCCCACCCCGATGGCTCAGTTTCAGATTCGTGGGCCACGAACAAATTTGCCCGATTCGATGAAATCTTTGTAACGGAGATAGACTCGTGAAGTCGCTGGCCCAGGCCGACACTCACAAACCACGCGAGTGGCTTAAGTAATTAAAATCGGGGTTTGGGGCACGTCTTTCTCCTGGGCGTATCGGCATAAAAGCCTTCGAGGGCTTGATCTTTCCAGGCAATTCGGAATTTTTCAAACCGTTAAAAATCAAAAACAGAAGGGGATGGAGACAAAGGTTTGTTTGTTTTTCAGAAGAGACGTGGTATCTAAAAATATATTTATGTAATTTATTTTTTTTTAATGTAATCTTAAAAGAACAAGATGCAAACATTTAGGAGGTAACTTTGTATTTCCTGGTAACTCAAAGGAGAACTCCTGATCCTGAAATGTACCATCTGCAGAAATAAACAATCACATCTTTGCCCACGAAATTTGCCTAAGACTATGAGCAGACAATAGTTGTAACATTAGATAATTTTACTAACTTGAGATTTCCCAAGGAGATTTTAATTAAGGAGCACAGGCTATTTCAATTTGCTTGGACAGATGACAAGGATGTCGGGTGATCAAACATGAACAGACTGAAATGTCTGCCTGAAACTTGAAACTTAAGTAAGCTTAAACCTTTCTTCAAAGCTAGCAGGTAAACATTGTATATCAATGATACTAAAAAAAAAAAAAAAAAAAAAAAAAAAAAAAAAAAAAAAAGCTAACACGTAACTTGCAGCAATTCTTTGTTAAGGCAATATAGCTGTCCTTACCAAAATTGTATGTTTGTGTTTATTTATTTAAATTAAATTCCTATCAGAATTTTAAATGTACATCTATCTTGGGGCCCCTGGATGGCTCAGTCCACTGTATGGAAAGATGATACATTGTTGAGCGAGAACATAAAGTTTTATAAAACACAAAGCAAAACTATACCCATGTACATATTTGTATATGTCTAGAAGAAAGCTTTTGGGAAAATGCACAGTGTTCATATAAGAACATCCTACCCTTGGGGAATGGGAAATAGAAGTGAGAGAGCAAATTTCCACTTCTTTTTTTATTCTTTAAATTTTTTTAACGTTTATTTACTTTTAAGAGATAGAATGCGAGTGGGGGAGGAGCAGAGAGAGAGGGAGACGCAGAATCTGAAGCAGGCTCCAGGCTCTGAGCTGCCAGCACAGAGCCTGATGCGGGACTCGAACTCACAGACCTGAGCTGAAGTCGGACCTTCATCCGGCTGAGCCCGCCAGGTGCCCCTCTGCTTTTTTTTTTTTTTTAACCCTCTTTCGAGCATGCATTACTTTTATTGTTTGAAAACAAAGTGTACTGGTGGAAGGCAACGCACCGCCCAGCTCTGTCATGTCAGAGGCACTCAGCTCCCTCCCTCTCACACAGGCTTGTCCTCCTCAGCAGGGAGCCTGGGCACTCCTCTCAGAGGGAGAGAAATTCAGGGTACCCTGAGCTGAAACACGGACTGAGAGCTATTCCTGGGACTTTTGCAACCTTGGAAGAACACCTCTATATTGCAAAACCTCCTCTATATTGTGAACCCACGTTCACAGCAGCATTGCTCACAGTGACCAAAGGTGGAAATAACCCATGTGTCCACTGACTGGTGAAGGCACAAACTAAATGTGGTACATCCATACAATGGAATATTATTCAGCCTTACAAAAGGAAGGAAATTCTGACCACATGAGCCTCGTGGACGTTAAATGAAATAAGCCAGTTACAGACAAATACTGTATGATCCTGCTTAGACGAAGTACCCAGAGCAGTCTGATCCATACAGACAGAAAGTAGGATGGTGATTGCCAGGGACGGGGTGGGGGGGATAGTAGGGAGGAATGGGGAATTGTTTCATGGGTACAGTTTTGGTGTTGCAAGATAAAAAGAATTGTAGAGATTGGCTGCACATAATGTGAATGTATCGATGCCCCTGAACTTCCACTTAAATGGTTAAAATGGTCAATTTTATGTTAGGTGTATTTTAACTACAATTATAAATTAAAAAAAAAAAAAGTGGTGGCTTGCATTCTCCCTGGAAACAGAAAGTCCTGGCAGTATAGGTATCCGATCTAGAAGGAACCAGGGCTCCTAGAGGGGATGCCTGGTCCCAGATCTGAAGCAGGAAATATCCTAGGTAAGCCGGGGATACTGTGTTGTGTACTGTACTTTAATGATAGGGCAAAGTTCCTATTGTAGAAGGAGCCAGCAGGACTGGGGAGGCTCTAAGAAGCTAAACGTCTCCCCCACAGTGATGTAAAGCATGCTTTCTTTGGCACAATTGTCTTTCTGCACCACAAGAAAAGGTTTCTTTCTCAATTAGAATTTAGATCGCACCGTACTAGAACATTACTTCTTGTTCTTGGATGATGCATGAGCCTACTTGCTTATACAGTGGCCCACAAGAGATTAGGATGGGACTCGGGAGGCTGTACAAGAAAGCCAGGACTCTGCTTCCCTTCTTGTGCAGAAGGTACTAAGGGCTGGAGAGTGGGGTGGCCCTGCCCATCCGCTGCAGTGTTGCTGAAATCTCACATGTGGTAAAGCCCTCGGTGCAGATAACCCAGATGTCGAGAGAGGCACCAATGTCCTAGAGTTGTGCCATATCTCTTTCCATGTAAGTTAAAAAGCTTCAAACATACTCAAGAAGAGAGGGATAAACACAAAGGACCTTCACATACCCATTTCCAGTTTCTTTTTTTTTTTTAATTTTTTTTAAGCGTTTATTTATTTTTGAGACAGACAGAGACAGAGCATGAACGGGGGAGGGTCAGAGAGAGGGAGACACAGAATCTGAAACAGGCTCCAGGCTCCAAGCTGTCAGCCCAGAGCCCGACGTGGGGCTTGAACTCACGGACCGCGAGATCATGACCTGAGCCGAAGTCGGACGCTGAACCGACTGAGCCACCCAGGCACCCCCCATTTCCAGTTTCAATAGTTGTCAAGATTTTGGGACGCTTCCTCCAAGCCCCTTTTTTCCTTTCCATCCATCCATCACCCAGAGTTAGCAATCATGGAGACTTTGTCACTTTATTTTCACGTATCCCTTTTACGTTCTTTGTTAAACTATTTTGAAGCAAAACGCGAACACTTCAGTGTGCATTGCTAAAAATTACAAACACTTTTATATAATCCCAATGCCATTGAAACACCGAACAAAACTGACAGTATAGCTTGGCATCTAATGCCTCGTTCATAACAACTCTTCCTGGTTTCTCAAAGAAAAAAATATCTTACAGTAGGTTTTCTTGAGTCAGGACTCAAACTAGGTCCACATATTACATTTGATGTTGCCTCTGAAGCCTCATTTCTCAAAAGCAATGCCCACTTCTGCCCTCCCTCCCTCCCCCCTGCCGTTGACTTGTTCAGAAACTGGGTTGACTGGCTTGTAGAATGTCCCACACTCTGGTTTTGCCTCTGTTTCCTCATGATCCCATTTGACTCATTCCTACATGCCTGTAAGTGAAATGTAGTTCTCGTGGCTGGATGAGATTCAGGTTTGATTTATTTGGGCAACGGTACCTGAGCTGTGATGTGCGCATACTGTGACATCCCATCGGGAAGCACGCCATGTTCCATTTTTAGTGACGCTGAATGGCTCAGAGGTGACAGCCTCACCTCCTCCTCTATAATATTCCCCATCAACCTTTCATCTGATGGTTTCGTCTGTTAATGATGACTCCTGAATCGATTATTTCACTGGGACTTACAACGGGATGTTCTGGTTCCGTCATCCTTCTCCATTTATTAGCTGGCATTTCCACGCAAGAAAAAAAATTTTCATCATCAACCAGGGCGATTTCATTTCCCTGCAATACAGTTTATACAGGAACGATAGGATCAATGCTGAATCCTTTCCCTTAAAGTGCCAATGTTTTGAATGGAGACTTGGCGTTGGGATGATACTGAAGGAGGTTTTTGCTTTCTCTCACTTTTACGAAACATTATAAACATGTTTTCACGTGACTGTACACAATGTGTCTTAGTCGATTGCATTTATTACCCTTTTTATTTTATTCTATTTTTTAAAAATATTTTCAGTATTTATTTTTGAGAGAGAGAGAGAGAGAGAGAGAGAGAGAGAGAGAGGGAGGGGCAGAGAGAGGCGGACAGAGGACCCAAAGCGGGCTCGGTGCTGACAACAGAAAGCCCAATGCAGGACTCGAACCCACAAACTGCAAGACCATGACCTGAGCCAAAATCAAGAGTTGGAGGCTCAACTGACTAAGCCACTCAGGCGCCCCCAATATTCTTTTTAGATGCTACATTTATTTCCTCTCTGGCTAATGGGAGCACCTTTTTGTTGGCCCCTGGGTCCTTT